TGAAAGGAGTTGAGCATATAGCTGTAGTTACCCCAGCAACAGTAAGAATGCGCCCCTGCACTAGATAAAGAAATACTAATGAAGTGCATAGGTTCAAATACAATTTTAAAAAACTGTTCAAATCAAGCAGAAAAAGTCATTTTTGAAAAGTTTACCGTCAAGGATAGTTGTCCAATAAGAATAAAAACAGCAATAAAGCTATTTATCTGGGCAAACAGTTTTCTCCTGCCAAGAGAGCTGGTAATTGTGCTGGCAATCACACTCATTTTCTGCAATCACAGACTAAAAAGTTTCAGAAGAAATACAATTTAGAGATGGATATAGATTCAAAAGTCATAAAACACATAGCATGGCAATAAAGACCACTTCCAGAGACAAACAGAGAATGTTCCTTTTTAAAAAGTGTATGAAAGAAATCCTATGCAAACGTCTGCACACTATTATCCTTATTTATAGCTTGATTCCAATAAATCAAAGGATGTAATAAAGGGAATTAAGTTGTGCAGAACAAGATGGAATATAGATTAAAATCATGAGGAGATACTAATTAATGATAGATTGTAATCTGGAGTACACTGGGAAATTCAGCTGATAACTCACATCTTAGATATGGCCTTTATTGTGCTAAGTTCTTAAGACAATCATAGGAAGAGCAAATATGGCAGTAGATTTTCGGGAAGCAATAGAGCTTTATATAAATACATAAATTTCCATGTTATATTATTTTGTCAGAATAGAAATGCTGATAATGAAAACCAGAGATGTATTGCAGGACAGGAAATTACCTAACCTGGAAATAGAAGAATGAAGAGACAACTGCACTCAGCCAGATGAATAATGATATATGCAACAGGTAAGTTGATGACAATATAAGCCAGAGTCCTTCCAATATGGGCCAAACTCTATGCTTCACTAAAGTAGGGGATGACTTTGGGGAACCTGTTAGAGTGCGTTCAGTCCTCTCAATCTTCTTGGCCTCATTCTCATGGTTGGAATCAGATTCTCTATATTCAAAATAGATAATTAAGTATGATCATATCCCTCCTATAGTGTTGCAAAATACATTTTTTGTGAAAAGACTTTTAACAGACAAATAATTGAATGAGATGCAAGCAATCCACGATACCCATTATTAACAATTCTCTGATTTATCTGTGTCTTGGTGGGTAGGGAAAAGTGCTGGAAATTACTTAGAACACGGTTACGAGTCTCCAATTAAATGGGATATGCTGCGACAATAGGGAACATTGAAGAGATTGGGACGCAAGGCTGCCACCCAGGGAGTAATTGTGTAACAGACAGTCAATATTCACACATGTAACTAGAAATAAAAGGGGCTTGAGGTAGTTAGTTAGGAGGTTAGTGTGATTTCTGAAGAGTGAAAGAGAGGGACAGACAAGGTGCTGAAATGTCCTGGTAAGAGAGAACGCCTCTTTATCACCATCTTTGTTTTCATCTCTTTATCTCAGATCCTGTATCCTGATGATAAATTTGCAGAGATTTTATCAATAATAATCTATTTCATTTCCCATATTCAGAATCAGCTAACCCCACCTGGTAGAAAACGACTTGGTTGTTTTTACTATGATTTGCTTCCTGTGAAACACGGGTACTCCATTTTAGGTAAAGTACCGGTACCGGGTGTGCACCGAAGTCGTACGAATTTTTTTTTTTAAGTTGGTACACCAACCAGTACACATTTGGTACCACGTACCCAACTTTTTTTAATTTTTTCCGGATGGTATAATTTGAGCTTTTTTTATTGAGTAAAAATTAGGTTAATCATTCTATTTATAAATAAAAAAGTTCTTTCACAACCAAGTTCTTCATCTTCTGCTGAGAGAAATTAGAGCACATACGGATTTATTCACTCATTGAAAAGGAATAGACTTAATCTAAAGAGGGGTGATGATTTAGCTTTTGTTCATACAAATCTCTGTCTTCTCTCGAGAAATAGTAAGGTTTATAATAAAGGAGCAACAAAAATGTGGGATACTTAATAAATAATAAGTTTAATTTATTTATGTTATTGCGCTGATATTAGCTTTTTAAAGCAAATTGTTTTTTAATTTTAATGTTTTGTTGTTATTTAAACAACATAACTCCTTTGTTATTTCTATAATTGTATTTTAAAAAAATTATACTAACGTACCCGTACCTTAGGTTTTTCTAAAAACGCCGTACTCCGTATCAGTATCCATACCGGGTACTGGGTACGTACCCGTATCTACGTAATGCAGTCTGTTTCTAATAACTTGAATTAGAATTTTCCTAGATAAACCCCCATCCCCCGAGTAGATATCCAATTAGATAGTTGAATTGAAACCATTAGCATGGAGATGGAATACTTAGATAAGTAGGATTTGACACCTAAATTTCAACACCTAGCTCTACATGCTGCAAATTTTGCCTCCAAATGCATCTCTTTACTCATTCATATAACTATGAAGAAAAGAATATAGGAATAACCTAATGGGAGACAATTCTTCTTGAACATGAGATGTATCACAATTTATCCCTCTTGATGTCTGAGCTGCAAGTTCCATCAACAAAGCAGCAAACAGAAGCAAGACTGCAAAAGACATTATTTTGATGTAAAACAAAGTAAAAGCACGCAAGAAAGGACTGTATGGGGACATGCAAACTTACATGGACCAACAAAAGCCATTCCTGTGGCAAACAGTGATCCACAAAGCTGGCCAAGGGTGGCACCAGCACCAATAAATCCAAATAATCTTGAACCTGACTGAACCCAGAACATGTTATGTGGGCCCCAGACAACCCAAATTAAAACAAAAACTATGCATCAGGAAACAAACCTCGTTGTCCATTACGTCAATTATCCTTGCCCAAGTTGAAGAAATTGTAATTAGATTAAGCAAAGCAACCTTCGCACAAAAAAATAAAATAATTTATATCACAGATATAATTAGAAGTTAGCTGGAATATAGAATCAAATTTATACACATCATTGTTAGTCATACCCATAGAAACAATCCTATACGGACAGAGATATAAAACCATCCATGTTTATCCCAGCCAGATGACGACGCAAGACTTCCTTGATCACCAAGTTTCCCTTCTTTCGAGGTCAAAGCCGTGGATCCCTAAGAGTAGACCAGAAAACCCAATTTAGCATGATCTTAATACAAATAATATACTGAGTTGAATATCTAGACTGCAACAGACAACTTCCAGTTATATTATTAACTTACAATCAAATTAGACGTCGTATGTCCAGCGGATGAATGGTGCCATAGAATAAAGAACACTATGAGTGATACACTAAAGAACCTGTGTATGAAAACCAAAGCCTGGAATTTCAAAAGGCATCGTTACAGCATGACATGCAAGTAAGCATTAACTAATAACCATTATATACCATTTTCAAATTCATTTCTCATGACAAAAACTGATTAAATTGTTAAATATGAATGCATATTAACATGATGATTTAGATTTTCTCTTATTTATTGGAACAATAAATCATTACAATGATTCAAATCCTAGTTCAAAGTACAACAACCTAAGGGTGGTTTTTTTTAAAAACACATGTAATTGCAATCACATTACGATTCTTATGTCTACATGATATTAAATTGTCTACAACTAATACAAAGTAATCACTAACTAGAAATAGCCATTATATGGAACCAAGAGCTCATCAACCGTATTTTATGATGTATATCATTGTATTTCAAAGTCCCCCACAAAGTGAATTAAGGAACAAACTTAGCACTCTAGTTATAAATTAGACGAGTAAGTAACTCAAGATAGTTTAATTTCCAACCGAAGTACTGTACCTATTTATGTCCAAAACTAACTCCCCTAAACTCATAGGAACTAAGTACTTGATAACTAGCTAAGAGTGTTAAAGAACCTTGCATTCTACAGCTAGTTTCCTTAGCAATGTCCGTAACGCAGACCAAGTTGTGTACCATAACAATAGACACTGCAATCAATCTTCAATATGTGCAATATTTGATTGATTAGATAAAGCACTCTACATGACATGGATGGGGATTTAGTTAGCTCAAAATTCAAATTCAAAAAATAAAAGTTCATATGCTATGCAGTACCAACACTTAATGTTGAAGATATATCTAGTATCTGCCGTATCAGTATCTGACATGTATCAATGTCTACTATTGATACAGATTATTTCATTCAATCACTTCTAATGCTTATTCTATTTTCTTAAATTATTAACGAGTTCTAGAATGTGGTCCGTATGAATGATGAAAATTGAATTTAATACAGAATTGAGATAACATAAATCGTGACCTTGTTTTTAGAAACATTAGGGAGAGAGAAGACGAGTGATGAAAAGGGCGCCGCAATGACGGTGAGCACCAATGAACCTACAAAGAGGCCAGGTAGATTTGATAGTCCCAATGAAATGGCACCTTCGTCACGCAAAGGTAGAACTACGAAATACGCACTCAAAATCTACAAAACGATCCAAAATTGAAAAAAATCAATACATAGTTAAACGGAAGAAGAACATTGAGAAAGTGAAATCACAGGCATAGCATTGAGACGAGAAACTCACGAAGAAGAAGCAGAAGAAGGAGTGGAGAAGAGCAGAGGACTCGTGCGGGTGCACCGTAACGAACACGGAGATAATCGCATCAAATCTATTCCTCCCCATCGCGTTTCTGTTTTCCGATTCGGAAGAAAGAGAAGAACACGTTTTTTTTTTTTGGTATAGTAGCTAGCTCCAAGGTCAAAGACTTACTGCCACGTGGCAAGTTACATCACAGAAGAAAAAGTGCGAGTGTAGTATATAATTGCTTAGCGAATCATAATCATTTAAAATTAAATTTCATGCCACGTAGCATGATACAACGGGGAGAATGATGCGAGTCTATCATAGTGTATCAGTGCTCAACAATTCATTAACCATTTCGACGGCTCAGATCTTTCCACGTAAGAATGCGAGGACACTGTAACGCAAACCCTTCTCTTTCAGCAACGACGCAACGTCTTCAAAAACGACCATGACTTCCCGTTTGATGCTAAAACCTCTGACATTCGGCTCGCGTTTAAACGCCGTTAACCTAAGAAGTTACAGAGTATCTGAGATGAACTCTTCAACTAGGGTTTCGAGTAACGGTGGCGGCGGCGAAGTTCGCTTCCCGTTATCTGCGTCGAACGCTTTGATCATTCAGAAAGGTGATATCACGAAATGGTCCGTCGATGGTTCCACTGACGCAATCGTATGTAAAATTTACTCTGCAGTTTTATATTTTCTTAGAACTGTAACACAATGAACAATGTAGAATTTGATTTATGTATGTATATGAACACGCGCAGGTGAATCCTGCAAATGAGAGAATGCTTGGAGGTGGTGGTGCTGATGGAGGTAAACCACTTTAATTTCTATACATACTTTAAATTTTGAGATTAGTTTGTGTGAATACCCCATTTAGTTTCTTAAGTTGTAGTAGATGGTGCTTTATAGTTAGTGTGGTAGTGAAAATGATCTTGTGTGATGGCTTTTTATGCTGCTTTCAGCTATACACAGGGCTGCAGGTCCAGATCTTCTTAGAGCATGTCGGAATGTTCCAGAAGTCAGGCCCGGAGTTCGCTGCCCCACGGGGGAAGCAAGGATCACACCGTGAGTTCTTATAGTTTTACATATGGTAACCCTTTTGATGTGCATGTTTTATGCTTATGTTTTAGTGGAATAAGAGAAACTATAAGATAAATTATTAAGAAAAATCATGAGATTAACAAATTGGATAAAAACATGGTATTGGATAGAATTTTATGGCGGAATTTTATTCATGTAGCCGACTCCACTTAGTGGGATAAGGCTTGGTTGTTTTTTTTTTTAGTGGAATAAGCACTTACACATAAGAGTGAATCACTAGTTTAGTCTCTAAACTCTTGGGTTGCAGGCTTTGGTCAACTTGTTTCTTGAAGTTAATAAAATTTTCAAGTGTTCCCAAATATTTAGTAGCCAATTGCATTCAGTGTTGTCAATGGCAGATGTCGGTCCATGGCGGAGGGCCAAAATCCCGCCATACTAGCGGCGCCGTTATAGTGGATTGTGGCGGAAAAAACCCGCAATATCGGCCGATATTTACCATTGTGGCGAGCCCATAAACCTCCATGTATATCCTCCATGGCACCGCAATTTGATAACACTGATTGCATTAGTCTGTTTGTGTCGATCAATTCAGTCTTGAAGAGACTAATATTATCCGGGATTTTCAATTTTATGGATCATTATGAAATATTACTATTTCAGCTCTTCTAAAATTTTAGGGACTAAGTAGTTCACTTAAAGTATAATTTTCTTAGATGAGCTTATTGAATATAAGCTGTTTTGGTTTTATTTTCTTCATGAGGGTAGAAATTGAAACTTAGGAAAATAAGCCTTTGCAGAAACTTGTCTTGTATAAACCTTTTACTTGTTGATATGCAGAGGTTTCTTGCTACCTGCCTCTCATGTTATTTATACTGTTGGCCCAATCTACGATGTTGATAGTAATCCTGCTGCCTCTCTGGCAAGTGCTTACAGGTATATTTTTTAATTTTTTGCTTGAGAAGCTATTATTCATCATCTTTGAAATTGAAAAAGATTAGTTCATTTTGTGTTTTAGTTCAGTGCCATTATTACACGTGACTGAAAGATTTGTATTATCAATTTGATTTTTCAGGAATAGTTTGAGGGTTGCAAAAGAGAACAACATTCAGTATGTAGCATTCCCAGCCATATCATGTGGTATCTATGGGTAAGTTTATGTTAACAAAATCCCATTTTCCTCCCCCATTTTCTGTTCATTGGTAAAGAATTATTATGATCACATGTCAATTCTAATATGAAACTGTTAGGACTTAGGATATAGAATAATATATATTAGAGTAGTTAAAGTAGCTAAGAGTCGTTATAAAAGTTAGTTGAGGTTGTTAATAGAGTATGTGTATAAATAATAGAACACAAAGGGTAGAGTAGAGAGCATCTTTGAATATTTATAATTGCGAATAGAGTATTCTCTATTGTGAAGGGGAAACCCTTGGAAGAGAGATTCTCTCCTATTCTATCATATTTCTTAAATAGAGTGTGCTCTGTATTTGGAATCCAATTATTGGATTCCTAACAGACACTTTAGGTTGGTACTAATTGGATTCCTAACACACTTTAGGTTGGTACCATGGCTTGGGATGTAATTATCTTTCACGGTGGAATCCTAAAGAAAAGTTATTTCACTAGGGGTGGGCATATGGATGGACTTCCATTTTGCTTTTGCTCTATGGAGAGAATTATATTTGAGGATCTGCCAAAAGGACAGCGACAATTTATGATTAAGAAAATCGCCACTGTGACTATTCAAACCATTAGGTGAAAAAGCACAATTAAAAAATTCATCAGACAATAGCATACCACTGAAGATGTTGTGTCATGGACATTATCTAATAAGTTTAAACTTAGGTGAAAGCACGGAAGTGCTACTAATATTTTATGACTAACACACCCTGATGCAAAACCGCTTCAGCCACCTACTCAACCTTATATGGAAAATGTAATTATTACTTTGATGAATAGAGCAAACTACAAGGATTGAATTCTAGACAATTCGATCGTAGAAACTTTGATACCATGTCATGAATCAGTTATCTGAAAAGCATAAGCTGTTTGGTGAACATTGTTTTTATACAATATGTAGCCATCCTAATGACCAATTTGTTCCCAAACCTAACAAATTCTGTCTCCAGGCTTGCAACTCTAATTTTACCTTTGATTTGTTATATATAATAACAAATTCTTTCGTAACAAATGCTTAATGCTGAATATTTCAGATACCCTTATGAAGAAGCTGCTACTGTGGCAATTTCTACCATCAAAGAATTCAAAAATGACTTTAAAGAGGTAATTTATGTTACATTTACTCTGCATTCTTTAGTTTGGCATGAGTTATGATATGAATTTTAGAAGTAAGACATCCTATTAGTGAAAAGATCAAAGGCTGATAAACTCATAGGTCTGTTTAAAGTGGTTTGTTTAAAGGCTGATCATAGGTTTATATAGAATTAATGAGGTTTGTTTCTGGTAAGACGGTCTTTCTATAACTGAGGTTTATAGAATGCATTTTTACAGTTGCTAAATTTTGTTTCAGGTTCACTTTGTTCTATTCGAGTCTGATATTTATGGCATTTGGTTAAATAAGTCAGATGAATTGCTGAAAGATTAGTGTCCTCTTAAAAATTAATTATAACATTTCAGATGGTTCTTATGCAGAGAAAGGGTGTAAGCTTAATTGCACCTTACTTGGTGTTATGATCTTCTCTTGAATGTTGAGTGATTTGCTATATATAAAACCTTGGTGTTCACGATGCTTCGATCTAAAATGATAATAGTGGAGTGCTTGTCTATTTCGTTAGTTGGTCCATTTGTTTAAAATTTTAAAAAATATCATTTTGTTATAATTAATTTGGAGATTGTTCTTTAGATATTTAATAGAAAAAACAAACAGAAACTGTGGTTGAAAAAGCTTTCAAGCATGTAAAAATAGTTTTTCACTATTATGATTGAAAAAGTAAATATAGCATAAATCTATTGAATCTAACAATGAATTGCCTAATGTATATTTGAGATTTCTTCATGTTCTTCCCCCTTCTCTTTCTTCATCATCTTGAACATGTTGATATAAAAACCCAGAAAATTGTAAAATAAACCCAAAAGAATTGTTATCATACTCCATCAAACAATTAAACTTCATAAAGCTTCAAAATTGTTTCAAGAATAATTAATGTTTGTCAGGTTTGATTCCATAAATATCTATATTTGATAAACAACGATCGTTTATGATAAGCAAGTAGAGAAGCTTCTAGTTTAACACAATCACTTTCATCAGAGATCAAAAAGCCTACATTCTAATTGTTTTGAATATTGAATAATGTGAATCTTCTATATAGAATTCCATATGGCAGTTGCTCTCTCCTGTATTTAAATATATAAATCAGTTAAGTGTTAAAAAGATCCCATTTAGTGACTAATTTCATTTTTTCCATGTTAATTATTTCAACATAGAAAAACTAACCCAACTAAATTTCCATGGGGATTGCCTTCTGTTCCACCAGTAGTGACTTATCCCCATTACTCACTCTTCTCTATTTCCAATAGTTTAGCAAACCAATGAAGCACACTAACTTCAAATTTCATTGAATTTAGAGAGAAACTACTTGCCAGAAATGAGTTCTAGTTGACCAAAGGTTAGAACACAAGTGGGTGAAAACGGTGGTGGTTTAATAAATATAAATTTTGAAGTTTTTTGAATTTTAATTGTTAGATGGAGTATGATATAAATTTTTATGGGTTTATTTTACAATATTTTTGAATTTTGATATGAACATGTTAGAGGTGAAGATGAAGAAAAAAAAAGAAAAGAAGATGAAGAAATGAGTAATAAATAAATAAATAAAATAGGTGTTCATGGTTCATTGTTAAATTTAATAGACTTTGAATCTTCAATGTTTGATATTTCTTAATTGGATCAAATAGTTAAATCTTAAAAAAAATAACAGAGTTTTATGGTGTATTTCAAGTGAAAAATTAATATAATTGACAAAATTGACTAACAAAGTTAAAGTTATATTTAAATGATTGAAAAATAATTTTTATTAACTAAGAAATTAAACTGGAATCATAAATTAAGTTAAAAGACTAAATATTTAATTAAGTCTTTTATTTAAATATTCACACCTGTCTTTTTCTCTTTTTTTCCTTTTCATTTGAAACAAAACAATACCCTTTTCATTTGAAACAAAACAACACCAACAGAAGCATAGTTATCATCTCTCACATTGTTCTAAACTTTCTCTCAAATTCTACTCGTGTATGTTCAAACCTCTGGAACTTTTACTCCTTTCCCTTCAAATTAAGCACAAACATCACTCACATTTGATAAGTTTTTCATATTGTTAGTTTTTTTATTTGTGCTTCATGCAATTTTTTAATAGATTATAGTTATGTTATATGAGAATATATTCAATAGAAATGTACATTTTGTTTGTTAATAAGACTTGGTGTGAATTTGACATTTGAAAATACGAGCATGACCACATTATACTTTGGTGCATTTTAGTATGGATTTTGAAATTCGTGCCCTTGGTACGGACAACAAAATATAGAATTTTTGTTATTCATTCTATTTTTTAATTTGTTTGTTAGATACATTATTTCCACTTCTTTGATTATGATATGCCCTTTAATGTTTGATTAACGAAAACATGGATGATGTATAATAGAGATACATACATGGTCGAATGATGTATAATAGAGATACATACATGGTCGTGTGGTCCAACATGCTTTAGTGCATAGGGAGAAATCTAGACTCTCGTCATATACTACTAAGGGATTATCTCTTTGGAGTTATGTATCTCTGGCTCATGACGAAGCACCCGATACTCATTTTCATGTTGATGTACACGTGCAAAATCTACATATTGAAGTCGGACTTGATTATGCAACACCTGCTAGTTTTTTGGGAGACCTTGAAATTTGGCTAGGCGGGGAATTGGGTCGACGGGATCTAGAAAGCTTGTGGGTTTTGTTCAAAATGTATAGAGTTCGTGAATCATTTGTTTGTCCACTGTGAGAGTCTCTTTGATTTGGTGTAAAGTCTATAGGTGGGTGGGATGTCTCTACCACTTCTTTATTCTTTTTTAGGGGTGTTACAGGTTTTTCAGGGGTTTGACTAGAATAAGAAATTTCACTCAAATCTACTTTCGATTTGATATTTAATGATTTGGGTCATTTGGAAAATGATGAATAAAATTATTTTTTATCAAGAAAGGTTGTCGGCTAATCACTAGAAGCACTTGATTATTAGCTTGACATGGGAGTGAGTTTATTCCCATGCTTCAGTTCTTTCTCTCTCCTTGTTAGACTGAAAGCAGAACTCAATAGACTATATTTGAGATTAGGAGTGAGTTATGTATGCTTTAGTTTTTTCTCTCTCCTTGTTAGACTTGAAACAAGACTCAATAGACTATATTCGAGATTAGGGATGAGTTAGATGACTCGTTTCTCCTATTTATTTCTTGTAAGTGGTTTCATGTTTACCTTCTTTTGACTATTACTTTTAGGAAGTGAACTACTTCAGTCAGTTTCTTCCATTCTTGTTTTTATAATGTCTTAAGTCGGTTTTGTTTGTTGTTATACTTAGTCTCTTTGATGGATTTTACCCTTTTCTTGTGCTTGTTTTGTTTACTTGTATTCTTCTTTTATTAATATATTGATATGCGTTGCTATTAAAAAATTAATTTATAAAATATCTTTAAAAATAATTTTATCATTGAAAATCATTTTTCATAAAAATATTTTTAAAATAAATTAAAACAAATGCCACCATAATTACACGGCATAAAATTACATATAAAACAAGTGGGCATTACTATTGATCGTGTTCATGCTTTCTGGCAACAAGTGTGTAGAATCTTTGGAGAGGGTGAGGTCTTTGCTTGGCAAATTTTGCACATTAGTTGTTACATAATGATTGATTGGTAAAATGGCAGGTGAGTGAACCTTTTTGCACTCATAGTGGTCAAATGGAGGAGACTATTTTATATGTTTTGAGAAATTGTACTTTGGCTTTGACTTCAATTGTATGGAGACACCTAATTGAACCTAAATAATATTGGAGTGCCTTTATTCTTGCTCCAAGATCTCAGTGGATTGAGCTTAATTTGGATGAGATTGCTACAATCTCTCAGACGATGCAATGACATTAGCTGAGATGCAGTTTGGACTAGATGTTGCTTCTTGTGGAAGTCGAAAAAGCAAAGAGTGCATGATCCAAAATTTAAAAAAGTTCTTTTAAACCTTTAGAGCCAAATATTCATCTCACAATCCTACATGTATATCACATGATGGAAATTTACATAAGAGTGTAACGGTTGAGTGAAAAGATTCAGTTGTTATGCCTCGAGTGATTGGACATCTTTTGTCAAAATAACTTTTCCAGCAACAAAAGTAGAGAGAAGGTATTCATTCCACGCCACCATTACTCACATGCACGTCCTCGATGAAGTTTAAATTAATCACTCAACTTGCAGATGTCAACAAACTTCTGTACTGCATTATGGTACTGGGTTCCCTGCATATCGGACAGGCACAGCTCGTTCATGTTAGAATATTGGCTTATAGTAACTCCATATATCTGCTATCTAGAATCCCATAATTATAAAGCAGAGAAGAAGAAATTTATTTCCCCCTGTCCCTCTTTCCCAGTCAAACAAACAACTTCATAATATACAAGGTCAACCATCAATAAGAAAAAAACTAATAATTGGTTTCAGTTTAGATTAAGGAAGTGTTTGTTTGGAAGCTTATTTGAATTTATCATATGACATTAACACTTATATAAGATAAAAGATAAGGCAATGGTAAATAGCAGCTTGCGAACAGATTGAACTGGTAAACATTACCTCCCAATAAAGTTGGCTACAGTCCATACACTGCCAAAACTCTAAATTCTTGTTAAATAAGCAACTTGGAATCTTTTGGAAACCCTTTGCAGCTTCAATAGCCTCTTCAGTTGAAAGTGGCTTTTGAATAAACTGTCCATTGCATTTTGTGCATCTTGACATTAGCTGATTCTCGCTAATATTTAGCTGAAAGGTCTCAATAATCTGAAACACACCTTAAATTTAGCTTTGTGACACTACGACATCAGTTTCTCAAGCAAGATATGGTTTAAAAAAATCTATCCATCATGCAAAAATTGAACAAAGAAGGAAAATAACTTTTTAACTAGAAATCTAAATAGAAATAAACTGTCCAAACAGATTAAACTTCCAAATCGATGGGCTCAATTCTAGCCTATTACAAGTATTTACCACATTCACATTATCCATAGAAGTTCAGGTTCTAAACCTAGACAAGAGTTCCTTAAAAGATAAATGTGTTGTACTATTTAACTTTACTTTCATAGAAATGTATATACACAATTTCTTTTTGATCCAAATATCTAACAGTCTTTCTAATTTCTAAGTAGATAACTAGAGCAACAGTACCTCAAGTAGCTGTTCATTTTTTAGAAGGCCCTTCACTCTATATATTTGATAGTCATGTCTTAGCAATTTCGCATCCCGTGTCAAAAGCACTCTTTTCTCTTTTTGTGCTTGTGTTATTAACTCCCTGAATATAATGAAAATAATTTCAACAGACAGGAAAAGGAAAATAGAATTAAATCAGTTGCCAGACAAATAATAATGATTCTTACACAAAAACCAACGATTAGAAAATAACATCAGAAGAATACTCTATTACCTTGGTTCAGGCTTCTTTGAATTAGGAACTGCAGCATCTATCCCAACACAACGTAAATGTTTTGCCAAGCCTTCAACCTGAGTAAAATTCCTTACCAGATTCTTACTCACATTTTAATTTCATAGACTCGCTACTAATGAAATCATTCATTACAATAAAATCAATTTACTTTTTCTTTTTTTGACTAAAAACCTTCTTTTTTTCCTTCCTTTTTGGATAACACATTTCTTCAATAAAATATTGCCGAAATCAAAAAATTGACACCAATGATGATGAAAATGGGTCATATATTATGTGCCCAAGAGTGATTGGAACTTAACTACATCTGCAGTAAACCTATCCAAGGTTAAAGAAAGGAAATATCAAATGTTCATAAAATTTGAAAAAAGGGGATATCTCATAATAAAATTTAAGATGCTTACCATAACATCACAGAGGAACTTTGGATATCCATCTCCCCCAACTAATGGATCCCAAGGTGCAGTACCTTGCCACTCATCAAAGTTCTCTATATGTTTTTCTCCGGAAATCCCATTAATTGGCAACTGTTTCTTTCGTTTCTTTTTGGAGGTCTTCGGCTCTCTGTCTGATTCCTTTAGCAAAATCCTATCACCATGTTTTTTGACAATTTTCAACAAAAATGCGTCCATTGGCTTAGTATCCCGGCATGCTGACTTTTTAATCACTTCCCCTTCTGAAGGCAGCACCTGAACAACACCAGAAGAAGTAGTGGCTTGGACAATTGCCAAGGCTTCACAGAATTGAGTACTAAGAACTTTATCAGTCATATCATGCTTCTTGAAAAGCTCTTTCAACCCAAGATTTGCACTTGAAATAGACAACTTGTTGGTCTTGAGATCCAACTCTCCTGCAGTGAAGAAATTAATAAAATCTGATTACCGAAAATTCTATGTATACATCCCTAGTGAAAGTATCGAGAACATATCAATTTTTAATTAGAAACAATATAGATAAGGAATGAAGGAATGTATACTGTGATCTAAAAGTAAGACTATATACATGCATGCTTATATTCAATTGGGTATAGTTGAGGATGAAAGCTGAAGAATGAAAACAGCTGATCAGCATTTGAAGGATTATTGGAACTACAAATGAATCAAATCATATTATAAAAATCAATCTTCTATTTTATATCCATTGTCTTTACAAGTGATTCAAAATACTAAGATGTATAGTTGGCAAACTCTCACAAGATATCAATTTATCTTTCACCTTATTTTTGTATTTCTCCATTGTTTTATTTTAACAAACAACTATTGAAAGAATTGTTTTGACAATGCACTTTGTAATATTCTGCAACTAGTGTACAAATAAGATTGTGATTAATCAAGCAAGCCACAAATGGAAAATTCCAAAGATGCCACACATAAGTTTTCTTTCCATTTTTTGACATGGAACTTAAGTGGATTGTCATGTAGCAAAACACTTAAGTTCCAGATGTAAAAGTTAACCATGTATCTTTTCCACATCGCAATAAATTGCTATTTATCATCTTTTCCCAGTGCCGTATTGGTCTATTTCTTCTGAGGGGTTTATGTTGAATGTCCAGGGACCAGTCAAATTTATCCATCCATTTTAACAAATAGAATGCTGACATTGCTGTGAGTGAAACTCCTACACGTAACTTTTTTAAACTAGAGGAAACAAATATTTTGATCAATCAAAGTTTCAAATGTTGAAAGGAAAGAGTATGTATAAGACAATGAGAGGCTTAAAGTTTGTGTATGAAACTTTCAGTAAAAACCTTCTTCGGCAACCTTTGCCTGAAAGACCTTAAATATTCCGAGCAAGCAATGAGCATCCATAGCTGCATATGTCATTTGCTCTTCTGTAAGAGGACGTTGTGACCAATCACTACATTGGAGTTCCTAAAGCAAATATAAGTTCAGTTAACACTTAATAGTAACTGAAAATGCCAATTGGCTGTGTCTTTGGAATCTGAAATTCCAACAGGACAAAACATATCCACAAGCATATCAGAGGTCCCCTTTATGTCCTATAATAGATTATAGACATGCTGTGTTTCTAAATTTTTAATAACCAACAATAGTATAAACATCACTAATATTTCTATAATGGGTCATGCTAACCAGTGCCCTGAGGGCACTAGTTAAGAATTCCAAATAAGGAAAATATGTTATATTTAGTTCACTCAATACACACAATATTCTTTAAAAAGTCTGATTATTTCTCTTTTCAAGGCATTGAATACACATATATTTAGAAAAAAAATGTATTTTTAATCTCTTAAATAATGCCCAACTTACCATTTTAATCTCTTAACCAATGCCCTGAGGGCACTCGTTAGCCTTTCCCATTCTATTATATAAGTTCAATCATGTTGTTCCTTTTTAAATCTCAATAAACATAACAGTTTGTAACTTGCAATATTTGGTTCATGATCAAACAAGTATTTTCAAAGTCACTTTGCAAAAGCTTAAGATATTCTGATAGATATAATCCAGCAAATATGGAAATGTGTTTTTATCATAAGAAAGTATATAAACAACAATCCAATCACATATTGTATGATGGACCTGTCAATTCTAAGTCCTAGCTGAAAACATTTTCCAAAAGATTAGGTTCTCATAGAATTCACATGTTGGTAACTTAAATATTTTTAGGTTGATATGTTGATGGCAATAATTGAAGAGTCTAACTCCATTTAATACAACATCAAAATCTATAAAAAAAAAATTGCTCAAATGCGAATAGAAAACTCATTTGATTAACAGCAGATAATTTCACACAATCATTATCTAGCTTAATCACAAATTTCAGAACATAGTACACACACATCCACAAAGTTGAATTGAATGGCTTATTGAATAAACATACCTTAGATAATGAAATCCCCAACATTTCTCCACAAATAGTTGACAAACTCTTATTTTGCTTCGATACACTTCTTCCATGTTTCGTATACTGAAGATGATTGTACACACTTGTAATATCCAAATACGGTTCAACCTATCCACAATTCACCACAAACACAAATCATCACAACAACAAAAAAAATGCACACGTTTAAGCATATGTTTTCATCATAAAACTTTTTCAAAAAAATCCTATACTATTTTTCATCACAAACAGATTCAAATTCTCACCTTATCGAAACCAGGATTGCATCCCTGAGAACAGAAGGTGGATGATAAGTATACTAAATCTTGCTTGAATCTGAATCCTAGTTTCAAGATATCAGGGGAAACCAGCATTTCTTGGAGAAGTTCCCATAGTGAAGAGAGAGGAATGGAGAGAAGGTCGAGAAGGAAAACTACCGAGTCATCACCGAGTTGACACGCGATTTGGAGTACTGATACGGTGGGAAACGACTTTTGTTGAGTCCGGACGGGTTTCCACTCGGCGTCGAGTCCGACGAGGGAGGTTTGAGTTAGAGACCGAGTCAGTTGAATAAACTCGGGTGAGTCGGTGGCGGTAACTAGGTGGATTTCGAGAGGTTTCTGGTTTTGTGGATCCATTTTGAAGAGAAAAGAGAAGAACGAAAGTTTGCTAGTAAAGAAATAGAATTACTACTTTGCACCCTATGCTTACTTTTGCACCCCACTCCACTATTTTAAAAGGCCCAAACAGAAAATGGCCCACGATTTTAAGAGGCCCAAACAGAAAATGGCGCCACCCAAAATGTTCCCGCGAAAAACAAAACAAAATAATGCGCGAAAAAGCGTATCCATTTCTTAATTAATAATTTAATAATTTAATAATCAATTAATAATAGTTAATATAAAATAACCCTCTTCCTCTTCCTCTTCTCATTTTTCATTTCTCAGAAAACACTCACGCGCCCATTCTCGAAACCCAAATTTCATGGCTTCGTCTTCGTCACCAACAACAACATTGAGCCGGAGAAGAACTCAAGCTCCGATTCCAGCTCCGAAGAAACTCTCCAGCCTCGACGACGTCGTTTGCCAGAAATGCAGCTCCGGCAAATCCCCAACCAAGTTGCTCCTCTGCGACAAATGCGACAAAGGCTATCACATCTTTTGCCTCTCACCTATCCTCGCAAAAGTCCCCAAATCCTCTTGGTTCTGCCCCTCTTGCTCCCAAACCACCACCAACAACCCTAAATGTATATTCATTCTTTCGGTTACAAGTTAAAACCCTAGATTTATGATATTTTAATTTTATATTTATTTATTTAGGTTTTAACTTATTTATTACATTTCTAAAGTTTTATTAACATGCCGTTTGGAAATGCAGCTTTTCCTCTTGTACAGACGAAGATTATTGATTTTTTCAAAATCCAACGGTCTTCTGAAGCATCTCAGATTCCGAATCAAGGTAAGCTGAATATTATTAATCTTATTCAATTGATAGTTTAATTGTGATATAAGTGTTTAATAATTTTGATTGGATTGATTGATTGATTTGGTTTTTTTGTTGAATTTGATTGAACTTTTTGTTTTGATTTTTTTGGGGGGTTTTAGATTCAAAGAAGAAGAGAAAGAGGGCTAGTAGTTTAGTGGTTTCCAAGAAGAAAAGGAAGCTGTTGCCGTTTACCCCGAGTGATGATTCTAGGAGAAGATTAGTACAGATGGCTTCGTTGGCAACTGCGCTGACTGCAACTAAGACGGAGTTCAGTAATGAGCTTACTTATATGCCTGGAATGGCTCCAAGGGATGCTAATTCTCCTTCTCTTGAACATGGTGGAATGCAGGTAGTTATTCAGGCAATTATTTAGGTGTTAATTTAGTGAACACTAAACATATATACAGCCACACTTACATGCAGACATTGGTTATAACTTAAGATAATTGAATATGATCTCAAATGTAGGGAAATAACACTGGACATGACTTCAATTTAATTGTTGGGCTAGTTAGTTTGTTAGGATTTAATTTCTTAATAAGCAGGCATTACATTGTGAATGTTAATTATATTGTAGTGGCACAGCTTGTTGTCCTTTTGCGTGCTATGCTATTTCTGTGTATAATCTTGATTATATATATATAAATTTCAATCTCTGACTAAAGATTAACAAATTTATAAATATATGGTGAAAGTGTTGTTCTGTATGGAGGTTAAGCTAAAACTTTAATCTCTGTTTATCTTAAACTGGCTGGTGTGGAGGTTTTTGAGAAACTTGAAGTCAATTAAGAAGAGATAATAGAATGTTGTTTTTGTTAAAAAAATTCACTGCCACAACTTATCTTATAAATAAATGTTCTTATTTTGTCCTATTGGCTGATTATCTTATTATGCAGGGAAATTTTTTGTAACCTCTCAACTTATCCTTAATGTAGGACTTGTATTGTAAAGTTAAATTGTCTGCATAACTATGTTAGCTATAGTGCAATAGGCATTTGTATAGTAACAATGACAAATTGAAATTTTGCTACACTTAAGTATAAGTGGTTGTCTACAAACTAGTTTGGGTTTCTGCACACTACACTGTTTGTCATTATTATGATGCATTTGGTTGTATTTTGTAACACTTAGTTTGATAATGATGACAGTTGTTTATAGTTGTTGTGTTCTAAAATCTCAATCTTGTTCTAGAATTCAAGAATGTTTCAGAAAAAACGATTGCTTATTTTTGGCATTACTATTAGTTTTTCTTGTTATTGTTATATGCATTTGAAATTGATGCAAGATTGTATGTTTTTTCCCAGGTAATGTCAAAAGAAGACATTGAGACTCTTAACTTATGCAGAAGTATGATGGAAAGAGGAGAATGTCCACCCCTCATGGTTGTTTTTGATCCTGTAGAAGGGTAAGTACTTGTGCATCAGAAACTGGCATAATCTTTTTCTCCTGCACTGTGTTGTTGACTTTTATTTTCTTCTTTTGCAGCTTCACTGTGGAAGCAGACAAATCCATCAAAGATTTGACAATAGTAACAGAATATGTTGGAGATGTAGATTTTTTAAGGAATCGGGAATATGATGATGGGGATAGCATTATGACACTTCTTTTTGCTTCTGATCCTTCACAATCGCTGGTCATCTGCCCAGATAAACGCAGCAACATAGCACGATTTGTTAATGGCATCAACAATCACACACTGTATGTTCCATTTCGAAATTTTATTCTCTGCATATGATTAAGGGTACGCAATTGATTGTTAATAGGGTTTAATAATGGCGGCAGAGTTATATTTACCATGCACTCCTTAACTTAAAATCAGTTTATTACAAATTTTCCTGAAATGAATTTAATTTTTACTTTCAACTTATATTTAACATTTAATTTTCTACTGTTCTATTGAAAAAACTACTAATGAAGTTTCTTGTTCCCATACAGTGAAGGAAAAAAGAAGCAGAACTTGAAATGTGTAAGATTTAATGTCGATGGTGAATGCCGGGTCCTTTTAATTGCTATCAGAGATATAGCCAAGGGGGAAAGGCTGTACTATGACTACAATGGATATGAACATGAATATCCAACTGAACACTTTGTCTAAAATTTAGTAGTTCATTCAACCTATACCTTTGGCATTGATGGCTAGAAAGTATTAAGAACTGGAACTTCAAAACGGTTGTACTGTCCATGTAAGAACTGGAACTTCAACCTATACCTTTGGACATGTATTCATTAGATATACCTTGTGGACATGTAATTCTTGGATAATTCTTGTAACTTGTGGTTTTTATCTATCAATTTATTAGCTGATTCAACTTATACCTTTGGCATTGATAGCTAGAAAGAACTGGAACATTTAAGTGGTTGTTTTGTCCATGTGTTGCATGTATCTTAAAAGATACCTTGTAGACATGTAAATGTTTGGGTAATTCTTGTCAACCTCCGGCCAAATGGGTATTTTTATCTATGAAACATTAAAGTCTGTAATCTAATTTTGATTTGCCGTGCAAGTAGGTACAGTTTAGAATGTCTCTATTAAGGACTAATTAGCTTTCAATGTAAAATGATTCCCAAACGATTTTTAATCAATAAAAGAATTTAAGGATTTAAATGAATGATTATGTTGCCACTTTCGGTCATATCTAGTGGTGGAGGTTTGAATTTTGAGAGTGTGTTTCACTCAAGGTTTTTAGTTTGAATTTTATTGGATGTTAATATTCTATGTGAAAAAATCTATCCAGAGCTTAGCTTTGACTTGTGCTTTTATCGTATTGTTTAATATTTATTGTTTTTAAAGTGTAGTGTTACCGTGTTTTTTAATATAATATTGGATTTTTTAGTTTCCTACTTGACTTTTTTTTTTTTGAGTTTTGTTAAAAATACAAGTTTATGAGTTTCTTTGAAGAAATACTGAATATTTTTAAAATATCTGATAAAAATGCATTATTTTCTAGAAAATATATGATAAAATACTGGAATTTTCAAATATATGATGTATTCATATCATGTTTTAAAAACATTTAGTGCAGAACAGTTGGTTTTTTGTAAAATTGTCTTTGTAACTATTAGATTTTTCAAAAAAGATGCCTCTAACCTATACTAGGTATCAAATATATTGAAAAATCTTATACATACCATATTTTCTGAATTTTTAAAATATCCCGTAGACAATGGTTTTTTTTAAATGTTTTTGTTTTTTAAATTAAATTTTTAACAAAACAGTATAACAATATTAACATATTGTATCAAAAGTATCTTACCACTACAATTAACTCCATAAAACATCTACATATAATGGATAGTGTATATATAATGTATAATGTACAAAAATATTAACAATGGATAGTGTATATATAATGTATAATGTACAAAAATATTAACAATATGATGAGGATATGGAGAATCAAGACTTAAATGAAGTAATCTAAAGTTTGAGATTTCTTATGATAAAGGCACGTGTTAGGAGAGTTAATGGTGCTCTAATATAATTTATGAACAAACCAATGGGAGCAAGAGACCAATTGAAAAGAAATTGAGAAAGACTTATCATTTTGGTCCAAGTTAATGAAAAGGACATGTCATGTGGGCTTGTTGGCCTATTTTGATGTTTTTAACCAAGAGAATTTCTTAATGCACCATAAATACTTCTTAACTACCACACGAAATTATTTAAATGTCCTTAATTTTTGGAGATACATCTCCAGACACACATATTTTTGAAAAAAAGTTGAAATATTCCGGAGATGCATCTCCGACATAATTTAAAACATGTAATTCATCCCACTCAAACCATTTACATTTGAATTGTACCAAAAATTCATCTCTGTGAACATTCCAGATATACATCTCTGAAATGTATCAGAACAAATATTTCATGTTATAAGTATTTTATCTATGTTCAAATGAACTATAATGCACAATCGAAAATAAAAAAAAAAATTGACGTACATAATTCCAGATGGACAACAATGCCATACAAAAATAAAATACCAATAAATGTCGAAAATATCGTACAATCGAGATCAATAAAGTAGTAAGAACATCAAAATAAAGTACAAACTATAGTACTACAACTATATAATAAAAGACTATTATGTGTGTTTGACAACCTTTCCTCTACCTTCTCGGCCATTAATCCCTCTGTCCTTCGGCGATGTCTCTAGTATAATAATGCCTCATGTACCTCCGCCATGATGGCATCTAGGACTCACTTGACATCAGACCCATTAGGGAAGATACTTGACTGAATGACTGCCTACGCAATCTCCACTATGTGACGACACCTAGGCAAGACATCATCAGTATGATCGAGTTATGCATGTTCCTTCTCTAGTATCTCCTAATGAGCTGGTCTCAGCGAATCTCTTAGAGCAGCATGCATCATGTACAAATGTGACACCATGAAGAACCATTTGATGTACCATTCGACGTAGCTCTAGTCCCTCTCAATTATGGTAGCTTATGCCTTCTCTGGTACTAGATGTCTCTCATAATCATCAAACATCTCTTCTATATCGTCTTCAGGAATTCAAATATAGAATGAGCACCTCTGGTCCTATCGACCTCTTCCTTCGCCTCCCTTGGATCATCCCCAAGATACTCTACCATCATCTTGAGCGCCTCGTCTTTGGTAATCTTCCCATGATCTAGGAATCTCCTCCTGATGGGAAGATGTAGGAAATACGAGACATCGTTGAGTGTGATCGACATCTCACCATGTGGGAGATGAAACAACGAGGTCTCCGAGTGTCATATCTCCATGAATGCATTAAGCATCTTGTGGTTGACCATAGTATAACCGTTCATGAACAAGTCCTTCAGACCAGATAAGGACAAAACCGATTGAAACCAATCCTCCTCTTGTTGAGGCAACACAACAATCTTCCTCTTGTGGTTAAGAAACTTATAGGAAAATTAAAACTAACGTAAAATTAAATAAATAATCCAACTAATGTTATCTCTCCGTCTCGGAATCTGCTGGATCTTCTCCTGCTAAACGAATGTGTGCTGAGCAACCCTACCATGCCTCAGTCTATCATGTCTATCAACCATTATGCATGTAAGTTAAATTAAGGCATGTCATTAGTGCAGGCAAATAACACACGAGCAAGAAAATTAAAAAAAACTACAGGAAATTCCGGAGATGCATCTTCGAAATCACCAAGAAACTAAATGGTTGAAAAATTTCAAAGATGCATCTTCAAAATTTTCTACAGAAAATCTAACACTGAATAATTTCGAAGATGCATCTCCAGAATTTTCTACAACTCAGAAGTTGCGTCAATGGCGTAATGTACCACATGCAAGATCAAAATAATTTGTTTTGATCACCATTTTTAGCTAACAAACAAATTATACACTATGTCTAAATTACATTAGATGTGATTTCTATTTATTTCTAACCCTAATCATTGATTTCTATTCATTTACACCAAAACTTAAATATTTATGAAAAACTCAAAAAACTTACTTGAAATGGATGTTTTTGATGAAGTTGGATGATGTTATAGATGAAATTTGATGCTCCCAGGAGTTCCATTGAGCCTTGTTTGAAGGAATTTGACTTGGTGTAGTTCTGTTTTGAGAGAGGTTGAGTTGATTGAGAAAATTGTGAAATGAGGAAGAATAAGAGTCTAACGCGACTTATGCTCTAAAATGTTCTAGAGATGCATCCTTGAAATATTTTAACGTTAACTTACATTTAGGTGTGTCCAGAGATGTATCTTCAAAAACAGAGGCATTTGTGAAAATTAATGTGGTGCAGTAGAAACATATAGGTGCGTTAAGAAATTCTCTTTAATTAATTATGTTGTAATAAAATGTGTTAGGGCTTAACTTGTTAAATTTTGCCCCAAAACACTTGTTCTTTTAAAAAAAAACTTTTTATGTGTTTTAAAACATTCTAAAGCTCTTTAAACTTTAAAATATCGTGGATTTATATTTTCAAGTAAATAATGGGCTGAAGAAATGAAAAAGTAAAGCTTTGAAGAAGGTAGAAAGATAAAAATTGGATTGCATTAATTAAAGTGGCTATAAATTGTTATTATTCGTCAAAGAAATGAGTATCCACTTTCTCCACCACCTTTAGTGTGTGACCTTTCATCCTCAAGTCATTATTAATATGTTAGTGGGTTGAAGTTGTAGAATTTCTTGAGTTACTATTGTAAATTCAGCAAGCTACTCTTGACCTATCAAGTTGAATTTTGTTTAACAAGCACATTGTGTGATTTTGAGAGCTTTGTTGCTTTAGTTCTAGATTGGACCATATTTTTATCTTATCAAGAAACAAAGTTTTTTACGGTGATCTTCACTTATAGGTTTATCATCCTTTCTAAATTATAGAAAAAGTGTGACACCCCATTTTTATCTTTTTCACCTTTTTCTTTCTAAATTTTAATTTGTTTCAATTCTATCATAACTCTAATATTATATATAATTTTGTGATTACAATGCTATATTATCACCTTAAAATCACAAGTTTCATAAATTAATAAAATTATGAGAAAAATGCCCGAATATCAAATTGGTTAGCCATCAAGTGGTATTAAAAGAAGAGTTTGTATAAGACCATTTTTTTTTTTAGAATTTCCATTTACGTTGTTATTAGCTTGTATTGAATCATATATTAAAAGTGTCTATAAAAAATTATCGGAAAAAAAAAACAGGAAAAAAATCATAAAAAATTCAGGTTGTGTTTATACTTATGATTATTCATATTGCTTTATTTATCGCTCACATTCTTGTTTATCTTGTTAATTTCCTTTGTCTTAAATTTTCTCTTTTATTTCCTTGTTTTATTTTTATTTTCCTTTTATTTCCATCCTTTTGAGTATTTTCCATTTGAAATTTGTTTTTCTTGTGCGATTGAATTTGGTTTCTTTAAAGAACTAAAAAGAGCAATTAAGTTTTAAAAAAAAAGGCAAGAATGTTCATTTAAAAAAAAATTGAGTGTAAACACGTGAGGATTATTATTATTATTATTATTATTATTATTATTATTATTATTATTATTATTATTATTATTATTATTATTATTATTATTATTATTATTATTATTATTATTATTATTATTATTATTATTATATGATTAACTATGTCAAA